GTCAGGATGGGATGGTGGACTTATATACAGGTGAGGACTGGCCAGGATGATGTGAGCTGGTGGTGACAGAACTTTTGGGGGATGGGGAGGGGGCAGAGGAGCCTGCCTGCTGGGTCAGCTCTGGTGGTCTCCCTGAGACCACCTGTTTCCTTCCCTAGCACCACAAGAAGTACCAGCACATCCACCAAAAGTCCTTTTCCTGCCCAGAACCAGCCTGTGGGAAGTCCTTCAACTTTAAGAAACACCTGAAGGAGCATGTGAAATTGCACAGTGGTGAGTGGTAGAAATGCCTCCTCACTTCCCTTCACCTCTCTCTCTGGGTGTTTTCATTTTTCCGTGAGTCCCTTCACTTCTCCATGTGGGTTCTGTCACCTCCCCCTGGCGGTCCCTTCACTTGCCCTGTGAGGCCTATCACCTCCTATCTGCAGGTGCCATCACACCCCTCTGTGGGATGACTCTCACTCACACTCAACTCTCTGTGTGTTGAGCACCTGCCTGCTTGAGACTGTTCTAGGTGTAGGATACAAAAGTGAACAGAGGCATCCACTCTAGTGATAACAGGGATACAAAGAGATGTGAAAGCAGGGAAGGGATGGAGAGCATGAGAGAGGAGTTTCTTTTGTAGAAAGGGAAGCTCCTTTGAGCAAAGACCTATGTGAAGGGAGGAATAGAGGCTTGTCCATGTCTATGGGCAGGCCTGGGGAGGCCCTGAACTGGCATCTGCATGGAATGTACCAGGAATGGAGAGGGGACCAGGAAGTTAGAAAGGAAGGAAGAGAGGTCAGATAGGTAGCAGGGACCTCTAACACTACCATCAAAGATGGTTTGGCTTCTGGCTAAATGAGATGGGCACCATCCCAGGGTGTTGTGTAGCAGAACGACACAACTGACTTTAAAAGGGGCACAAGTGACTTTAAAACTGACTTTGTGACTGCCATGTGGAGAAATGGGGCTGTAGGAATGTGCAGTGTGCAGTGATGGCAGCTTTAACACGCTGGTACAGTTGAGTTGATAAGAAGTGGCTGGAGGCTGATGTGAGCGTGAAAGTGGAGCTAGAAGGGCTGCTGTGAGAAGGACAGATTGGCCACAGGTGGATGGGCAGGAGGGCATCAAGCTGACTTGAAGGATTCCAGCTTGAGCAACTGGAAAGAGGTGATGTGATTTCCTGAAAATAAGAGAGGCTTTAGGAAAGGGACAGTTTATTTGGGACATGATAATTTAGGCATCCCAGAAGATATGAATCTGGAGTCTGGAGATGGTGGGGGGAGGGGGAAAAAGTGTTAATCACAAGCACATGGGTGCTTCACAAGCACATTTGTTGCTGAAGGTGGAGTATACCTCCATGGAGTGAACGTAGGTACAGAAGAGTAATGAATGGGACATGTGGAAAGGGCAGCTACAAAGTGACCAGTGAGGCAAGTGAAGAGAGCAGTACTTGAGGAACCAAGTGGAGAGATTGCTCCAGGGAGGAGGGACAGAGGGTGGGTTGTGCCAGTGCTATAAGACGGAGTAAGATGAGGATGAGGACTTTGACTAGATAACAAGGTGGCATGTGACAAGGGAGAGGACAGCCAGAATCGAATTAGTTCAAGGCAGAGAGGAGCTAAAGAAGTGGAGATAGAGAATATGGACTACTCTTTGGAGTTTTGCTGTGAAGACAAGTAGAGAAATGGGGTCTTAGCTGGAGAGCTGTGAGCTTGGGGGCACAGAGGGGAAAGGGATCCCACTGAGAGTAAAGGTTACTGATGCCTAGGTGGGGTGGGCAGCCTGCAGTCAGGGAGAAATGGTGTGTTTCTGCACAATTGGAAGGTGGCTACAGTAAAGCAACTATTCACATAAATGGTCACAAACAAGTTTGGTGATAGATTAGGTAAGGGGGAAGATGTGGGTATTCTCTCCTGGCTTTTCTCTTCTTGGTGACTTTGAAAAATAAGATCACTGCTGAATGAGGCTGGCAGAGAGGGGAGGTAGTATGGAATAATTGTCTATTGGACTCCTGTGAGTGAGAGAGTGAAATACAGAGGCATATGGTGGACTCTTTAGACTTGTGGTTGTGGATGAAAAGTAGAGGCTGGTGGGTGGGTGGGGGGCATGGATTGTGGATTCTGTTTCTACTTCCCTTAGCACACCTGTGCAGGATCGGGCCAAATGTTGTTTACCCTAAGTTGGATTTTAGCCAAACAGGTCCAGCTGAGGAAGAGAGGGGCCAGTGAATGGGTAGTATGAGTGAAGGAAGGCTACAAAGATGCCTTGGAACGGGAGTGTGGAGGGGCACAGTGGAAAGTCAGCGGGCTGCTGGACTGGCAGCGTGGAATCACAGGCTTATTGCAGCAGGACAAAGCAGTAGAAGGCCCTTGCTGGAACTGGCATGCTTGCAATTGCAGTTTCTGAAAAGGGTGGGAGACCAGGGACAGGGAGACCAGGGAACAGAAATATGGAGTGCTGGCTGAGGAGAGGGCCTGGAGCCAGAGATTTGTGCAGTGTGGTAGAGTGATGGGGAAGAAGGCTGTAAGCATACATGTGCCGTCTGACAGGTGGGGGTGAGACAGATGTCTAAAGGATGCCACAAGAAGTGATGATACCTCCAGTATGCCCTGCCCTGAGGCTTGGAGGTACAGGAGAAAAAGCACAGTGGGCCTGTGAGAGCTGCTGGAGAAGGGCAAAGGGCAGGTGCTGTTAGTGCTGGCAGGTTCAGGGAAAAAGGAACAGGTTGGCTGCTGACAGCCACAGGGCACTTTTGGGGGCTGAGAGGAGTGGGATAAGCAGGCTGAATTGGGACAGTACTCCTGTGAGGGTTGGCAGGTGGGTTGGGCTGAGGAGGGGCCACAGCCTGGGGATGAATGCTAGGGTGTCACCTGTGCACCTGCAGACACCCGGGACTACATCTGTGAGTTCTGTGCCCGGTCTTTCCGCACCAGCAGCAACCTCGTCATCCACCGGCGCATCCACACTGGAGAGAAGCCCCTGCAGTGAGTGTGGGGGAGGTAGTATGGGTGGGAAGGTAGGGCTGTGGGTTGGAGCGGGGGAACTGCCATGGGGAAGTCAAGATGGGCTGAAGCACTGTCCTTCCCTCCGCTGTCCCTGGCTCAGGTGTGAGATCTGTGGGTTCACCTGCCGCCAGAAGGCCTCCCTGAACTGGCACCGGCGCAAGCATGCAGAGACAGCTGCTACTCTGCGCTTCCCCTGTGAGTTTTGTGGCAAGCGTTTTGAGAAGCCAGACAGCGTTGCAGCTCACTGCAGCAAAAGCCATCCAGCCCTGCTCCCAGCTCCACAGGAGTCACCCGGCCCTTTGGAACCCTGCCCCAATATCTCTGCCTCTGTGACCCTGAGGTCTGATGATGAGTCCAGGCCCTCTCTGGTTCCTGAAGCTCTGACCACACTCCATCAACAGTGAGCATTCCTGGGCTCTGAGAAGCCAGACCCTAGGGACTGAAGGGGAGCAAGAAGAGAAGGGCCAGATGCCTAGTCCCCAGAAACTAAGGTGACAGGGAGTGTAGGGTGGGGGGCAAAAAAAAAAAAAAAACCAAGACAGGCTACTTTAGCCTTCTTAAACAACAGAATAAACTCAGTATTTTACAGTTGTGTGTGAGCAGAGTGAATGTTTTGGCACCTGAAGAATGGAAATCCTTATTCCTCTGGAAGCAGGCTCTGCTAGAATGTGCCTGAGTGCACCATAGGTGCAGGCCCTGTTTCTCTCTCTGTAGGCCCCTACCTCAAGGACCTAGCTTTCTTTCCCAATTTGGTTTGACACTTTGCAGTCCTTTTCAGTTGAGTGTCATACCTATTCTTGTGCTCAAGCAGGGCAGGCTGTGACAGTATGCAGAGCACTAGGTCATTCCAGAGGGATAGCTAGAGCAGGAATGGAGGTATGTGAGCCTGAGCCACATTTGTACTCTTCACTGAGAACCAAGTGTATAGGCCTTAAGAGTCTTGCCTTCCAGTGCAAAATCAAGGGGGCTCTACATGCAAGATCACTTGGGAGGGGACAAGATATCTTGGAACTTCAAAAGAGCATGGCCCTTGGATCACTCTTGAAGTCTGCAAAGACAGCAGCCTCAAGCTTTGAGAAAAGAGGCTCTTGGTATCTGGAACCCAAACAAACAACTCTTTATTTCAACAGCCATAAGCAAATCACTGGACAACTCCAGATTTTCTACCCTGCACTACTGCCTCTGTGGAGCTGTTTCCCCATGGCTCCAAGATTGATTTGGATATAACATTCTGATGTTTCATTTGGCAGTATCCTGCTTTATCCATGTGGTCTAAGTCTAGGTCCCAAAGCTAATGTGGCCCACCTAGCTAGAGAACAGTGTCCTGAGAGGGACCTTGATCTGGACACCATGAGGTCTGGCCCATGGGACAGGTGGATGCTTTGCTGAGGGCTCCTGCCCACCCTCACTGGAGTGGGCCTTCTCTGCTGGGCGGCAGGCTGATTGCTTATGGCAGGATGCCTTTCACAGAAATGAGAAATCTCATCATCTCTGCCTAAAAATTTCCCATCTCTCAGAGCCCAGGGAGAAAGCAGCAGAGAAGCTGTCAAGTGGAACCAGGAGGCAAGAAGACCGCAAGGCAGGTGGGTTGTCCCTGTGGCCACCCTGTGATCATTACCTGAAGAGGCAGGACAACAAAAGTATCCAGGAAGGAGAGCTAGAGGAGACTCAGGCTGGAAAAAGGGGATGGGACAAGAGAAGACAATACAGGTGGGAAACCAGGAAGGAAAACATTTGAGGGCACAGTAGCAGCAATGGGAACATACCAATACCTGGGCTTTCTTCCATGTCTAGGTTTTCCCAGTTCCCTGCACCTATACCCCAGAGGTAGCAGGAAGGATGGACAGGAAGAGCTGACAAGGGAAATGGATGTAGGGGCATGACAGGGGGTGACAGACAGCCATGCTGTTTTTATACAGACTCCCATTTGCAGAGCTGCCCCACCATCCCTGTGGCAGTATATTGGTACTTGCTGAGCCCATTCCAGAGAAGCTTCTCAGCAAGTTTCCCTCAGCTGGGACACAAAAAGTCCGGTTTCTCCTGTTCTGCCTGCCCTGCAAAGATGAGGGCAGCTCCTGCGGTTGCTTGGGTGGCAGCGGTGGCGGCACGCGCTCGTGTGTGGGCCCGCTGGTGCTGTGAGAGCGAGCGACTGTGGCTGAAACACTTGCCGCACTCAGCACATTCTGCTGGTCGCTCGCCCAGGTGTGTCTTGCGGTGCAGTGCCAGTTTGGACCCCACGCTGAAGGCCTTGCCGCACTCAGGGCATTTGTGGGGCTTGTGACCAGCATGGTTGCGCCGGTGCACGTTGAGGTTAGATACGCACGTGAAACATTTGCCACACAACTCACAGTGGTAGGGTTTCTCGCCTGTGTGTGTGCGCCGGTGCTTGGTGAGGTCAGAACGGTCGCTGAAGCGGCGGCCGCACTCAGCACATGGGAAGGGCCTCTCGCCTGTGTGTATGCGCTGGTGCACCACTAGGTCAGAGCGCTGACCAAAGCCCTTTCCACATGTAGTGCATGCGTGGGGCCGATCTCCCTGGTGGCTGCGCCTGTGGCGCAAAAGGGTGGAACTCTCACTGAACCGGCGCCCACAGTCCCCGCACATGTAGGGCTTCTCACCTGTGTGTGTGCGCTGATGGCGCACGAGCGTGGCACTCTCCAAGAAGCCCTTTCCACACTCGGGGCACTTGAAGGGCTTCTCACCTGAGTGAATCTGCAGGTGTCGTGTTAGTGTTGAGCTCTTACCAAAGTTCTTCCCACACACACTGCACTGGTGTGCACCTGGAGCATGAGGCTGTGGAGGTGTGGAGTCTCCAGAGCTCCGGGCCACGTGGACGCGCGCGTGGCTCCGCAGCCCTGCGTAGCTGCGGAACGCCCGTGGGCATTGTGCGCAGCGGTGCAATGGGTCTGTGGGTGTGATGGGTGACCCCCACGGGTGTGCGCGCGCCTGGTGGAAGCGTAGCGCGCTCTGTCGGAAGGTGCGGGCACACAGCGGACAGCGGCGGGGCCGCTCTGGGGGATGCAGGCGGCGCCGGTGCAGCAGCAGAGCCGGGAGGTGTGGGAAGCTGCGGCCGCAGGCACGGCAAGAGCAGGAGCGGCTGCGCTGTCTATGTACACTCTGGTGCAGGTCGAGGTAGCCGCTGTGGCGGAAGCTCTGGCCGCACTCACTGCAGATGTAGAGTGTTTGGCCAGCATGGGCGCGTCGGTGCGCACGGAGGTCAGCAGCCAGGGCATAGCACTCACCACAGTCTAGGCAGCGGTAGCGGCTGTCACCGCCATGAGCACGCTCATGACGCAGCAGCACCGAACTGTAGCGGAAGCTCTTGCCACACTCACTGCATATGTAAGGCCTTCCTGCTGCTGCCGCCATCTCTGATGCAGCTAACATGGTGAGGGCCAGGCCGGGCGTGGGGGGTTGGAGTCCCCGGAATGCAGGCTGGCAGGGATGTGTGCCACTCCCACGCCAGGGTGCACCTCCTCAAACTGCGTGTTATTTTCCGTTTTCTGAAGGCCTAGAAAGGGAGTGGCAAAGGGAAGAAGGGGAGTTTTGGAAAACTGGTCTGCAGATTCTAGGTTCCTTTTCTTGTAAGCAGACTGTGTCTTTTTCTAGGGTGCGCTGCAGCCAAGTTCACCCTTCACTGCGAGCCCTATAGGGAGAAAGTCACTGTACGCTACAGTTAAAGCTGTAACAGCTACACCTTGGGGAATGGCCAGGTGAGCACAGAGTCCCTCATTTCTTGTAACTTCCTCAGCTAGGCCATCTCCTGCATTCCATTCTCCAAGAAGAGGCAAAGCCATAGGACTCCTAGAAATATGGAGAAGGAGGTCTTCATGCCACCACGAAGGGCAGGAGGGATTCAGAGAGGGAGTTTGCCTCCAAAACTCTGCTTGGGAGGGGATGAGGAGTACCCAGCCAGTTTTCTGTCCTTAGGCCAGAGGTCTTAGCCTGGAGATACACTAGGAAACACCAAGAAGGGATGGGCAATGAGAAAGCCCCTGGGCCACAGAGCCTGCTTACCAGAAAAGGAACCTAGAATCTGCAGACCAGTTTTCCAAAACTCCCCTAGACCACATCGATAACCTTCCTCTGAGACCCTGGTTTCCTAAGTCACCAATGTGAACCCAGCCAGACCTGGAAGGTCAAGGAGGGCAATGAGATGAAGCCTAAACCCATACGTAAGCAGAAGCCTGGGCAAAAAGTATCAGAAAGGGCTGGGGCCTGGGCAAAGGATGGTATCTGAGAAACCCCAAAGTACTGCACTTTGGCTTTGGACAATACCTGATAAACAACCACTCCACACTGGTACACAGCTTCAAAGTTCTCTGGCCTAACCTTGAGAAAGCAACTCTGGACCTGGGTGAAAGCAACCCTGGAAGGGGTGAAAAGGAACATGTGTAGTCCACAAAAAATAATATTGAAAGTTGATGGCATTTTCCTAGAAGTGCTTTTCACATTTTCAGGAAAAGCTGGGGAGAAGGAAGAAGCATTCCTTCTTAATTCTCAGTTCATCCAAGCTGTTTGCAAACATTCTACAGACATCCTTCATTGCCCTAGCTCCAGGGATCTGAGAACTCAGAATAGCAGAAAAGCCCCTTATGGGGATGGAATCTATTCTGCTATTGTCTTTATCTCAGATGTTATCCCTGAATCCTAACAAGTTGGTCCAGGTAGCTGTCTGGGAGCAGAGTCAGGCTTTCTTTACAGAACCTCCTGTGGGCCTCATCACTGACTACTTCCATCAAGGTCCAAGGATTGGTCCCAGCTAAATTCAGTGGAGATTAGGTGCAGTTACTATGAGTTATAGACTATCACTCAACGGGTCAGGGAGAGGAAGCAAACAAGTCAGCAATCATTTTCTTACTGGCAGATGGAAACATCATAAATACCTAGAGCTCTGGTTAAAACATCCCATAAATAGGATCCATTGAAAAAAATCCTTGAGAGGTGCCTGGGTGGCTCAGTTGGTTAAACATGCGACTTCTCACAGCTCATGGGTTCAAGCCCTGCCTCAGGCTTTGTGCTGACAAATCAGAGCCTGGAACCTGCTTCAAATGTTGTGTCCCTCTCTCTGCCCCTTCCCCGCTCAGGCTGTCTTTCTCTCAAAAACAAATAAACATTTAAAAAAGAAAAAAAAAAAGTCCTGAAAGCCACAAACCTTCAGGGGTGGGCTCAGGAGCTTCTGCTCCCCTCCACATTGGGCAGGAGTGGCCAATACAGGATGTTCTCTTCTCATGCCTTTGAAGCAGGATGTTCTGTACCCTGCGAAGATGAAGGAAGAGGGACAACATGAATTTAAACTGAGCAGAGGGGACAGAAGCAGGGAGAGAAAGAAGAGGGGAATATTGTTTTAATGGCCATTTTCAAATTTAAAAAACTAAAGAAAAGTATCATGAATCACTCTTTCACCTTCAGCATCTATTTACATTTTGCTCTCAAAATTTCTGTCCCATCTATGACATTCCTCCCGTCCCACACACTTTTTCTCTCTTTTTTTGGTCTGCAGTATTTTAAATCCCAGATATCTTATTCAAACTGCAAGCAGGGGCAGGAGCCCCTCTGCAGACCTCTCTAAAGCAGTCTTTAGAGAGTCTCTCAGTTCTTTCATAGGGAACTTTCAGCCCAGACACTTGGGCAGCTTACTCTAGCTGGTCTTCAATTCAAAAGAACTTTTACCCTCACGTGAATAAAACCTTCCCTCAGGACTCAGTGTTTGATCCCAAATGCCAAAGAGAGCAATGCACATTCCCTGGTGTGTGTTCCACTTTACTTGGGGGTCTGCAGGGACCATGGCACCTCTCAGACCAAGTTTCTGGGAAACCGCCCCCCTGCCTCCCAGGGCACATGCCCAAGGAAGGGAAGACAAATGCACAAACACAAACATGCATACGAGTGACATATAAAGAAAGATACAATTCTCCCCCCCCACCCCTGCCCCATTACAAATGTGGAAATAAGACAGACCCTGATCTAGGGAGCAGGTTTGGTAATTCAGTACCAGAGTACACCCTTCAAGTCTCTCTTCTGTACTTCACCCCATGCTGGAACTTGCCCTGGGAGGAAATCTGAAAGGAAAAAAAAAAAAAAAAAAATTACTGTGCAAAAAACAAAAAAAAAAAAAAAAAAAAAAAAAAAAAAAAAAAAAAAAAAAAAAAAGATTTTTAGACTGTCTTAACCACTTTGTCAATTGAGGGTTTTGAAGTTGTTAAACCACCAAATTCATTTTAAGTGTAAAAAAAGTAAGTGCAGGAGGGGAAAAAAAAAAGTACAGGAGCGCTTGGAAAGAGGGAAGGAAGTAATTATGTGTGATTTACTGAAAAGTCCTAAATGCTCAGTATTTTAAAGTAGTAACTTTCAAGCATCTAATACTTACAAATATTTACAAATGCTACATATGTAATTAATAAAAAACAGGTAATATAAGCTAATGAAAAAATTAACATTTACACTTGATTAAAAATAAGCTTCTGAGTTTTATATCACTTTATTTTTGTGTCTTAATAGATTTTGCAGGGATTTCATACCATATCTAATTGATCACATATTACAGATCAAGAGTATGGTAATTAATTAGGATTTAGTACATTTACTAACAATCTACTATGAGAGCAGTTTAGTCCTTTTTCTTCTGAGTTGTGTCCTTCAGTCACTACAAAGATTTTCTTCCCTAGTTATCTGTTCTGCTGGGCCAACATTTCTGGGGCAGGATGAAGAGGCAAGTGATCATCTCACAATTTCTCCATCTTGAAGCCAGAGCTGGGTAAAACTGGAACAGGAGAGGGACTGAGGATTGTTCCTGCTGTACTGTCCACTATAATAGTCTTGAGCCACATGTGACTGAGCACTTGAAATGTGGCTGGTCCAAACTGAAATGTGCTGTAAAGGGTCAACTACACTCCTGATTTCAAAGATTTAGTATGAAAAAAGAATGCAAGATATCTCATTAATAATGTTTAATGTTGATTATGTATATGTTGAAATGATAATGTTTTGTATATATTGGGTTAAATGAGATGTATTATTTAAAAAAAATTTAATGTTTATTTTTGAGAGAGAGAGAGAGAGAGAGCATGAGTGGGGAAAGGGCAGAGAAAGAGGGAGACACAGAATCTGAAGCAGGCTCCAGGCTCTGAGCTGTCAGCACAGTTCTCATGAGGCACAAGATCATGACCTGAGCCTAAGTCAGACACTTAACTGACTGAGCCACCCAGATGCCCCAAATGAAATGTATTATTAAAATTAATTGCCTACTTTGGGGCCTTTCCATTTATAGCTCCACCTGCAAAGCCCATTACCCCCTTCACTCAGTGCTTGGCTCCGATAGCCCCTCCTCAGAGAAGCTCTGCTGAGCGCCTTCACACCCCACAGCCCATCCCCTTGCTTGATTTTATTCTGAGTAATCAGTGAAAGTAACAGGAAACAGTGATTCCCATCCATTCTGGGAAGGTTTCAGCCCCTTTTCTAGGTAAGGATGGAGTGTGGAATCTAGAGCACCAGAGTGGCTATTCCTTATTTTCTTTTCTTCCACAGAAGAAACAAGGTCCAGTACTTCAAAAGAAGTTACCCCTTCTAGCTTCAGGTCCAGTCTGACATGTTTAAGGAGGTGGTGGAAATAGGAATGACAGCTGCTTCCCATCCCAAGTGCCCAAGACTGATTATGATTCAAATACATTCTTTTGGAAGTTCTCCCTTCACAATTTTTTTCCTGTGAACTGGCAAGTGTGGACAAGGTGCGGATGTTGGCAGGGAGAGAGCATAGTAGGGTAGTCTATTCCCTGTGTTCCTTTGACACACGGTTGCAAAACTGCAACCCAGAGGGGGCAGAGCTTCCCAGAACTGGGATATAAGAAGGGACTATATATATTGTTTTGAACCTTCCCTGGGCCTAGCAAGAAGTTGGGCACACATAGGGCACTCAATGCTTTTTAAACATGATGTATTAAACTGGCATACAAGTCTTTCAAATGTTAGATTCCTGGAGGAGTAGGAAGCCTCTCTCCAGTCATCTTATCCTCCGTAGCCCTATCTACTGCAGGTACTGCAAATATTCTGCTTTGGTTTACTGAAACAGAACTGCAAGATCCATAGGGGAACCACAGAGGCAAGTGTCCAAATTCTGGTTCTTCCATAATAAGTATTAGCTGTGTGACCTTGGACAGGGAACTTTAGGGGTCTGACACTTCTGCCTGGGAGAACCCAGTAAAGGAAACTATTATAACGTTTCATATGAAAAGAAGGTTAAAACATGTGTAAGTCTGACAACTGCGGTTGCTGAAGTTTTAGGTTTTGCCCTCCTCAGGAAAGTTCCTCTAAAGAAGGATCCTGAATATGGGGTCTGTCTCTGACTTCGACCCTAAGGATCCTAAACGTTCTGCAAGACTTTTTATTTAAATTTTTTTTTTTTTCAACGTTCATTTATTTTTGGGACAGAGAGAGACAGAGCATGAACGGGGGAGGGGCAGAGAGAGAGGGAGACACAGAATGTGAAACAGGCTCCAGGCTCCGAGCCATCAGCCCAGAGCCCGACGCGGGGCTCGAACTCACGGACCGCGAGATCGCGACCTGGCTGAAGTCGGACGCCCAACCGACTGCGCCACCCAGGCGCCCCTGCAAGACTTTTTAAATCCCTTCCCTGATCCCCCAAAGAACCCTTCTTCACAGGGTTAGAGCAGTGTAGGCATTCCGTAGCCCCACGCCGAACCCCGGGAGCTTTCAGAGCAAGCACGAAGATTGGTTGTTCATTTTAAGACTTGTTGCCTCGTACTTGACGGGAAGATGTACACAACTATTCACGGTAAGAGGAACGCCACACCTGAGAAGGTCGCAGCGCAGCCAATTCCGGGCGCTTCAGTCAACGGTGGTCGTCACGAGTTGCTTGGCGAAACTCTTCCGACCTCAGCTCCTCTCCCACGGCGCCAGTCCACCTTGAGGGCTAGACAGGGCACCAAAGACGTATTGAGGAATCGGGGGTGATTAACGCCGACAGAGCTTGGTAGCTAAAGCTGCCCTTTTAATCCGTCTTAGCCTGGTGATATCTGCGTCGTGGGGCTGCGGGCCCGAAGGTGACCGGGGGCGAGGACAGGCTGAGGGCAAGGCCTGGGAGGAGCAGGCCGCCCAGCGTACCTTAGCGTCACTCGTTGCCGGGGCGGCGCTCGCAACAGCTGCAGGCGCTAGCAGCCCACAGCGGAGGGGCGAAGACCGGCGACAGTTGGAGATCGCTGCCGCGCGCCAACCCTGCCCTCCTAGCCCCTCAGTCCCCTCACCGGTCGCCGAATGGCTCCTTGTACACCACGCGGTTCCCACTCAGCTGGCTCGCCGACCCCTGCCTCCCAGACTGCGGGACTAAGGAGAAGGGAGGAAGGGACTGGCGGAGCGCTCGGCCGCCGAATAGGGGGAGCTAGGAGGCGGCTCGGAAAAGGGGTCACGCTGCAGTCCCGCTTTCCCCAGTTGGCCAGTGGTTGACCTCAGGCGAGCCGCGTCACTGGTTGCTGGGATGACTAGGAGGCATAGGAACTCCACTGACTGTTCTAAGTCTGTGTCCCAAATCGCGGTGAGGGGGCGGGGCTACCACTGCCAGCCAAATACCACCTCCCTCCTCGACAAGGCTCCGCCTTCTTCCCAGGAGTAACCAGTCTCTACCTTCTCTTTTGTCCGTCCGCCCCTTGGTTCCACCCAATCAGAGGAAAGGGCGCTGAGACTTGGGCACCGCCTCAGTCCGCGGTGGCTGAGTTCCGGTGCGGAGTCTAGTCTTCCAGCTGCTAGCACACGCCTAGTGGGACGCGTACGAGAGTCCTTGCGGCTGCTGTCGCCCAGGTAACGGATGCTTGGCGCTGAGCGGCCGCGGGTGCCACCCTCCCAAATCGTTCCAGTGGTTAGTAACTTTTTTACAGTAAGGCCACACTTGGGTACCTATTATCGCGCTTAATCCTCGCCACAGCCCTGACAATCAGGTTCCCACAAATTAATGTCTAAGGTCGCACTGCCGCGGCTGGGGGTACTCCTGGTCTGCTTTCCAGCCACCTCTTCAAGAGCTGCTAGGCAGAGCTTCCTGTCCAAATGTTGAGACTTCAACCACTGAGAGATGGAAGTGCCAACTGATTTCTGGAAATGAATGGAAGTGGGAGCATAACAGTCCCCTCTTCCAGGCTACCGATCATCCAGAACAGACTACCGAGAATGGTACCCGCTCTAATCTTCC